CATTAGCAAGCGAAACACCTGTTTAGAAGAAAACAAAATCGAAGAACAAGAAGATGATAAAATGAGAAAGAATCGCTTAAAGTAATAACATTCGCTTATTTCCCCAATCCCCGATGATTTATACAACTAGAAATGAATTGTGAAAGCAAACAAGTATTTCTAGTGGTCTTTGTTCGATGGATGGACGGACGGACGGACGAACGGACAGTGGATATTCTTCTTTCTTGCGCGGTCGCAGGCTATTCAAATGTGCTCAATACAGTGCAAAATTGGTGAATCCTATTTCAAAAAAATTAACATACAAGTTTTACTTGTATTACAATCGCTTTTTATATTATTGTTATTAAAGAGGTCCTTTGTACATTCAAGGATCGACCCCATTTTACCATAAACAATGTGGAAGGTACATAAGAAAGACAGGACAGTGTCAGCGGACAACAAGAGCACAAAGAATCGAATCGTTAAATTCTGCAGCACGTCTGATTTCGCGAGAAGGGGGAGCTCGATAAAAAAATACAATAGCGGCAGGTTTGCATGTGAATTGGCGAGAGCAGATGCGAAACCGAGATACGCCGATCTCACAATGCCTGTCAAAGTGGATGATTAATTAGACCAGCTCATCTTTACCTAAACACGCGTTTACCAGCCAGATTGACAGATTCAATACTTTTACAATTATATAACATTGCAGCAGTCATCAACAATAACAACAACGACAAAAGCAACAAAAAAAAACACGAAAGAAGCACCGTCATCGAAGACCTTTGCAATTATTCATAAATATATCTTGTACAGTAGTAGTTATTTCTCAATACTTCTGACATTTCTAAATTAGGAAGGAAATAGAACAAAGGGATTTGATTTCCATACACAATCATCGCAAATTGTTTATAGAATAAAATATTTAATTCTTGATTTAGTTTCTAGTTTTCTTTAAACGAAATTTAATTTATTGTTTCTTTCTTTGATGTTCCTCAACAAGATAAACTTTAAGACCTTTCCAAATGATTATGAAATTAAATGCCAAGTTATTTACAAGTAAAATTACAAGAAATGTTAACTGTTGTCATTATATCTAAATTTTATTTCAATACAACAAAAAATATTGTATATTTTATTAAATGGTAAATGAAATTCACAAAATAATGAAAGAAAAACCAAAGTCAATATGAACTCATTGTAATTTGTATCACACATGCAACAGATAAATCATGATCGTGAATTTACGAGAGGCAATTTCGGTTTAAAATAATTTGAGGTCAATAATTATGCTCTTCCAGTTGTGATGCAAAGAAAGGGAAAGACAGAGACGGTGAATGGAAGCGTGGTGAGGAGAAGAGGAGCGAACGTTTTCTTCTTCTCCATGATTTATGGTCGCGATTTTTACGTGTACGTATTTTTCTGGTGACCTGAATTACTAAATAATCGTTATTTATAGTAATTATTTTGAGGCGCGAATTTCGCCTAATGGCGAAAATAGTCAGTCCGTCCGTCCGACTGGACTGTACGACCATCCACAAGAATAGCGCTGATCCTTTCAACTGTGCAACTGGTGTAAAAATAATGGGCTCTTTAGAAATCTGGTTTTTCTGCATTCACGCTTACTTACGAACTAACCCATGCAAGATTTCTCATGCCTCCGTCGTTTTCCCAATATTTTGTTTTCCTATTTTCCGAATCACACCTTGATTGCCGATTGAATATTTATAGATAGAGAGAGATAGCAATGATTAAAGGGCGTTCTGCGTTACGGGTATAAATATGGAGTATGTAGCAGCTACCACGTTGTTACACGTGAAACAGTAACATATTTATATATGAGAAGATGTAGTATTATATAGTGGTAAGAATGTAATGTCGCCTGGGGTCTGGGCGGGCGGCGTGACTTGCACGTGGTCTAGGGCTAATCGTTTAGCTACTGTGCATTCAGTGACTTAAACAAGATCCAATGACTCGCCAGAATCATAAATCATGCTACGATAAAACCCCAGTCAAATGCCTATCACACCTCGTTTATATAACCGAAACCGCTGTAGGTGGATACAACAAGAACAAAAAAAAAACGAACCGCATAACCGACGATGAGGAGCAGGAGGAGGAAAAAAAAAGGTGCTACAATACTATAAACACATCAAACGCTCGGGAAAACAATTAATTAACCCTCCGCTACCATTTCTGACCGCCGAATTCACATCCATCGAACAAAGTCTTCTACTACATAACCGTTTCAAGAAATAATCAAATCAAATATTTAAATATAATAATATGTATTAAATATTCAAGTATTTATTATACATGTGCTAAAATAAAGTAAATAAACTATTAGTATGATTCAATTATGCAATTTTAATGTGTTATCGCTTATCTAAAGTAGAACTCTCAAATTATTATCTACTTTATTTGTCGCCACTTCCAAATATACAAGCATGTGTAATTTTTGTTCAAATACTTTTTTTTCTCTTGGTCTTAATATAACAAAATATGTATACCAACTCATAATTATAAACTGATGTTATTTTTTGAAGATATAGAATGAATTATTGCCTCATAATCTAAATTAATAATATTTATTGTAACAATAAACATCCTTGATAGATATACTTTTAACGAACCTTTACACTTATGTGCTAATAATTATTTATTATAAATAAATAAACAGTTTTAAAAAATCGATTTCTATTTATAACTTTTAAACTAACTTCTTTTTTTTTCGTCTGTAATTATTAACATAAGTATATGATTGTTGCAATAATAATAATTAACCATTTGATATGATTTATATTTCATATTTTAAAATTATGGTGAAACTTTAACAAATAATATATTATATATTTCAAGATCTAAGCTCTCACTTCTTATCGTTCCTATTGCTTACTCAGCCAAATCAATGCTACTACTACTGCAACGGACGGAAATCAAGAATGCCCGGACCACACTTTTTGCATCGGGGATGCGTTCTTGAAAATCATGACGCATACCACCGATATGCGAGTTCTTTCTAAACGAAGACGTAACAAACTAATTCTTCGAAATATGCAAATGCTAAATTTTACGGCTCAAAACACAATGATGTATAAATTGTTTTATAACGCAACGTTGAAAAATACGCAGAACCGAAATATAAATGTATTTCTGAATATGTGTAGTATTTGTTGAAATTATGTAAGAAATATATTTACTAATATATTTAAGATCTTAAAGGAACATCGATCTTGTGACTAATTATATATTGAAAGCCGGAAATAGGCTAGTTTTAAAATCATGAAGTAAATGATTTTTCGTAATTTAACAAATAGAGAGAATACAAGCAAAGTACAAATTACGTATATCACAAATGGGACAGAAATGAGTACTTAAACATATAAAAGTAAATATGTTTGGTATTTAATTGTAATTGATTTGATTAGTGTTGCTTTAATGTATAGATATTTTAATGTTGTGTTTTTGAATGTGAATCAAGGTTGAGTCTGGACATAGGAAGTGAACGAAAGCGCGCGCGACGAGTGGAGATAATTTGAGTGGAAGAAGATGCGAGAAGCAGCAAGCAGGGTGCCGTGCCGTGCCGTGGATGGGAAGAATGCTGGGAGGAACACAATTTAAGCGAAAATTGATTGGGTGTAATTGTTGGAGCGGAGTAAATAATAAACGGCGAAGAGTGAAGAGTAAAGTTCCAGATTTAATAAGGATAATCAAGAGTTTATTGTAGGGAGACGCTAGATTGAGTCGCTTCTCCGACCTTTGTCCATTATTCAATGTAACTTAGTTTCGAAGTTGACGCTCGCACGTTCGTATTCTGGCGTTGCAAAGACAATGGTGCAATCAATAGGGTAATGAGAGGACACTATATCTAATTATTGATGCGGTCAGCTCTCCATCCTCGCCGTCGGGCAGAAGACATGCCGCTCTTAATGGATTGTGTCAGTGTCGTTCGCGTCTAGGAGAGAGCGGCGAGCGAGCGAACGCTGTGCCTCTCTCAGTTTATTAACTAGTTCTATACGTTTTCCATCGGCACCTGCAACCTGCCGTTTCGAGCAATGCCTTGTCTTTAGATTGGTGTGTATGCGAGTGTGTGAGTGTGTGTGTGTGCTTGTGTGTATGCGTATGCATACATGCATTCGTTTGTATGTGTGTATGTATGATGTAACTGAACGGTGTCGGTAATGGCAGTTTCAGTGCGATTTTACTCTTCCAATAGACATTTCTCAAACCGTCAGCCTTCCATCAGCCTTATCGAGATCCTGAACCGGTGTAATGACTCGGGTGGGCCATTGTTCACGTATAGACTGATGAACATTAGGGTATTGTCAAGTCAATCACATAGGTAGTGCGTGCCGTCGCGCCGATATCGCCGATTCCAATCAGAACGGTCGCGCGGTGATATACTTTTGTCTCCCTACATTTTAATGACTTTAAACATTGGATACTAATAAGAGTAAATTACGTGTGCGGTTTTCCAGAAGGGATATTAACCCATATACGGGGGGACGTACGAGGAACGTACGTACGTACGTATACATCGGCAACTTTTAAACAAACAGCATTGTCTTCTTCTCCTCTATATAATCGGTAGGGAAGTGAACACAGAACACTCAAAGATTCAACTTGCCTGACTGCCCGGTCTACCTGGTTATGCTTATGTGTCCCCCCACCGGTCCATTCTTTCCTTCATGTGTATGTGATCAGTGTAAGAAGCGGAGTCTTCGGGAGAGCACGCGAACCTGCTAGTCTTCTATTTATGAATGGAACTATTTAGGAAAATAAGACCCGGGGCACACTTGTGATTCCCAACCCCCCCAACCTGTCCATCAGTGTTTCACACGCCACGCAGTGTTCCATGTTCCACTCCTCTCAGACAATAAATCTATCAAACTGACTGACCACACATCATCAAAGTGCATCTCTATTAGTGACACTACTACTACTACTACAGGATTTTACAATACCAATTCAATTTCAATCTCTGTATACCTCCCCCCGAATTTGTGTGTGTGTTACTTACTACTACTACTACTACTACCTATGTTACAACCACCTCAACGAAACATGTGAACACGTTTACTTCTCAGTCTATTATTTATTATTGTTTATCTCGAATCAGCAGGTAAGCCCCACGTGGAATTCCACATAAATATATATATATATATGCATATCTCTATATATGTACATGTCTGTATACCATTATTATTATTATTATTATTATCATCATTGCTCTCTCGCTGTTGCTATTTCTTCCAATCCAACTGGATTGCATTGTAAATAAATATTTACACAATCAATGATTTCACTCTGCGCTAAACCTATTCAACAATAACATGCTCAGGTAATTGGACGTACACGGACTGAATAAGCAGCTTCCATTAATCACGTCGCTTCGCAGTCCTCTGCATTATCGAAATAAATTCGTGTATGTATAATCCAGCCAGCATTGCCAAATATTTAATAATTACGCACAGCTCTCAATATGGACAATCCGGTCATAGTAATTAGATAACAAGCAACTTTCAACGGAGATCGCGCGCGCACCTCCTCTCCTGCTGTTCATGCTGATCTCTTTCGCGCTCTCTCTCTCTCTCTCCTTCTCATTTCTTCTCAATTAATGACACAAGATGTGTTCGAATACACCAAATATTTGTAAACACAAATCCAGCAGCAGCAACAGCAACACAACAATACCACACTGCAATTTCACAAATTGTAACCCAGTTTATCCAATAATGATATACACCATATCCGCACAAACATATCCTATTCAAATTTGTTCTTTTTTTCTTCCTTCAAAAAAAAAATAACTTTTCTTAATAACGTAACAATTATTTTAAATACGTTTAATTACAGCATCCAATCATCCAACACTTAGTACTAATAACAATTACAATACAACAAGCCAATTAGAAATATATATTGCAAAAATATTATTACAATGCGAATAGTTTCAGTATTTTTTATCAATTTATTAAATAAAATATACAACAATATGATAAAGTATTATTACTACATTCATACATTATTCCACTATAATACTAATAAATTTAATTACATAGTATTCGAAACGTAAAATCCAATCCAATATTTTATTACTAAATAGTTTTTTGACGTTGAAAGCCAGTTTTTTGTTTTTAATTTTAAATTTATATTCACGTCGGAATGTGTTTTGTTTAGGTAAATGATGTGTGTGTTTTTTGTAATGTTATTATTTGCCTGTCAATAGATCGTTGGGAACAATGAGATAAACGTTGCATAAGAAAGTATATTTTCCTAATTAATATTTTCTCGGAACGCTCCTTCCTGTGGATTCCTCAACTACAGGCTACATTAATAACGATTTGAGCAATTAATTATGGAATATTAATGGACAAAGGCGGAAAGACCATACGATTTTGTTTATATCCCAGAATGTGAGCAATAACTCGTTTATTTAATTGTCTACATCTTACTATATATTTCGACTTATTCTCATACGATCCATCCGTGCATGCGTCCACGTAATCCTAAAGTACAAAGGATTACGAATTTCTATCTTCAGTTCCAATCCGTGGACATAAACTTACAACTTACAAAACAAAAAGTATAAATTATCTATACACCACTTATTTATTAAGTGATACATTGCACATTTCTCTATACACTAAATTATATAATACATTTGAAAAAAATATAAACACTATATATTTTTTTTTAACTTGTTAATTTATATAACATGATTGTACGTGTATGTAAACATGCAATTATTGAGTTGATAATAGGATTATTTTCTTACGCAATTAGAATGAACTCAAAGTGGTTACTGGAATTACTTGGTTCCCCCCTTTTATGAAGCGTGAAAGGGTTGCAAAGCTGAGGGGCGTCCTGCAATAAAAACAAACAAGCTTGCGATGGAAATCAATCACTGCGCTAATTACGTTACCCCCATTATCCTGTACTTATTATGTAATAATTATTGTCTATTGGTAAAATAAGATGATTGAACCTGTTGAAAGAGGGTTAACAAAAGGTGGTGGTAGTAAAGAATGAGTGGAAGGGACATTATTCGTACGCAATGCGATTTAATAGGCATTCCGAAAGAAAGTATTATATTTTTCGATGTTGTCTACGGGCAAAGTAATAACGCCGAGATTGTTCCTCGGGTTTTCTGAAAGCAATAAGTGGTCGAGGCGTTTAATTAGCGACGGCCTAGGTCCACCTTCATTTACGAACGTCCCTGATTTACGAACATCCGTGCATACGGACCGGTTCTTAATAGAATTTTCCATCCATGCGAGATATCGAAAGCTCTCTAAACATATTAAACGAATTACGACGCTCTTACAACTATTTTATTGCTACGAAATCCATTCTGTCTTTACCTACATGCTGGAAAATCATCGCCGCGCAATATTAATAAACTCTAACTGTTGTTACATTATATATTTACATATTTTTTTTATTCACATGCGAACGGCTCGGCTCGCATTACGAAACGTAAATTTAAAACCCGTGTACCCATTTTCCGGAACATCCACAATTAAATTATATTGAACGTAACGAATTGATTTCCAACGCTGTATAAAACGAAATACATTAACATCTAATACCATTACATTTGTAAGCTTTTAAATATTCTAGTGTACATAGTTTTTTTTTATTTACAATATTTCTTTCAGATTATAAGTATTTTTTTTAATAAAATACCAAAATATCTTAACTTTGTAGACTAATCCATTTTTTGATTCTTAATCATAATTGGATTAGTTCAGCATCTTTTTTTTGTAATACTTATATTAAATTGCGTTCAATTATTATATTTTCATGCGACAATAATCTATGAAATCAATTGAATTACAGATAAAATATTCAAAAGAAAAATCGTTAAAAATCCGAAGCGTTAAAAACTGAACTTTTATTTTAAAAAGACTGTTATTGAATTACACGAACCTGTTGTTGCGAACTCTGTATAAATCATGGACATATGTTTAATGGACGGCGAACGCGTTAAATTTCAAATAAAAAAATAAATAAATAAAACAGTGGGGTGCGATTGGGGTGCATTTTTAAAAGGGGTGCGCGCATAATAAAGATGTAAATGAATTGGCGCGTATGTATTGTGCAAATTAGTTTGATTCGCATTGTGTTGGTGTGGGACTTGCTGCAAGCACTACTAAAAGTCAATTTATTGCCGGATGATTCAACCTAGGTTTACCTGTCCGGTTTTTATTATTGTTTTATTATTGTGATGCCTCCATAAGAAACGAAAACGGTTATAATAAATTAAAGCAAAGTATTCTTGTGAATAAAAAAACAGCCTCTTATAGAAAATTATAAATAATCGTCAGCTTGGTTTATCTCTTATTCACAAATAAATAATTTAATGTTACACTCTTTATATTGCTTTAAGCAATTTTAGTACTAGTTAACAATTCTTAAATTATTATTTAAATCTACAACTATTTAAGATAATTGTTTCATGATTTTGCATATTTTTAATTATTTGTGTTATTATTAGTTATTATATTATCCTGTTTCATGAAATGAAATTTATGTAGTTATCCATTTAGATGCAAAACCAAATAAGAAACAACGAATAAATTCAATCAAATGTTGTATTATCAGAATGTATGGGACAATACATTATTTGAGTTTAATTGCAATGCGACGAAATAGATAGTCGATTTACTAAGTATGCACATAGTTACAAGTATTTAGAAAGTTATTTATTGTTATTATTCAAATGCATTAGAAGAAGAATGGATTCAGCTATAAAAAGCCATTAACCATAAATAGTCGAACGGCTGACAATTAATCATTGGAAGAAGCGCTGAAACTTTCAATTGAACGGTGAAGTATATATATTTATAATGTTGTTGTTGTTGCTGTTGTTATTTTTCATGGATACTGGTATCAGTTTCGGTATGCATCACAATAGCATCAGTAAAGTGATAGACTTAGCTAAAAGCACTGACAGCTCCGTTGCAAGTTTTGTTAGAAGCAGTTCAAAAAAAAAAAGTGGTTAACCATAAACAGCCAAAAGAGTGACCATTAATCATGCGAGGAAGTGCTAAAACAATCAATCCATCATTAACATTAATGCCGAAACGACGTTGTTAACGACCTGTTAACAAATAAATTATAACGTATATTTTGATAATCATTTTGAGTCAATTTAGGAAAATAATAGCAATTTAATGAGGATGATGTCCCGTTTTGATGATGCCGATTTTTATTATTATTATTATTATTATTATTGTCTTCGTTTGCCGTTTGCATTGCTTTTACTTCGGACCCAAAATGGAATGCGTGCGTTGTACACGTGAAAGTTCGGTATGTAAATCTATGTGGACTAAATCCTAGTAAATCCCGCACTTGGTTATTATCGAATATTAATAAATAACGCCAACGTAGTAATTACGTTAATTATAATAATCGAATCTGAAAATTCGCAAAGCGAAAAAATAGAAAACTATTCGATTCGTTTCCGATTAATACGCGATACGGAGTTTCATTCAACTTTTACTGAAAAACAAATTACACGTTTTATCACATAAATATCCCATACTCAATTAGATAATGCCGTCACAATTGAATAATACGGTTTCATTAAGTAGATTTACTTATTATTTTGGAAACGAACGGCTGATTAAGAATCGATCGAGTGTGATAAAATCAATCGTCAGTAATTGCATGAATAGTGTTCTTTTTTTTTTCTCTCTCTCTCTCTGTCTCTCACTCACATAAAATTACTAATATCGGCGTAATATGCGAGGATGCTGTGATATTCATAATGAACATAATGCACTCTCTTTGACGCCTTTGGTGTGGTATGTTGAGTGTCATGAAGCGTCCCGACGTCTGAGGCTGTCTTCTTGCATTAACGGCATGAACTGATTTACACTTGTCCACCTGCCCTTCCGTTTCATCTCGGTCCACTTGCAATATCCGGTTAGTAGTAGAATCGCCTGCAGCCCCTTTTATACAAGAAAGTACACATATAAAATGTGAACGTTCTTCGGGCCACGCCAAGGAATCTAGATCTATCTACGCGCTCTTAGAAATACTTCTTTTCTCAATAATATTTATACATCCATTTCTTCTCTGGATCATTCTTCCACTTCACTCTCGACTCGTACA